TTGGATTAAGATTTTAATTTAAAATTATCAAATTTATAAATTTCCTAATTTATCTATTGATTTGTGGTTAATATTGGTTCTCACAGTTACCACAAACAACTCAGTTCTCCCTTGAATAGGCCCCTATATATATATATATTTATATATAGGGTTGGGTTTACATGAGACCATTCTATTTTTATGAGACCCGTGAGACCACATTTTTACACTTGAAACTTCACAGGAAAACATTGTGAAGGTTAAGAAACTCCGAACCTACAGCAGAAACACTGTGAAGGTTACCTTCACAGTGTTTTATTGTGAAGTTTCAAGTGTAAAAAGGTGGTCTCACCGGTCTCACGAAAACAGGCTGGTCTCACATGATCCCAAGTCAATATACATATATATATATATATATATATATATATATATATTGGGTTGGGTTCATGTGAGACCAAAGGTTTTTAGTGAGACCGGTAAGACCAATTTATGTTTATTGATCAACTTTATAAGCTAATGATCTAATGGTCTAAAGTTGCACGGTGGCAATTTTGTGATTATTGAGAAGTCTCGTGGCAATTTTGTGATTATGAATGTACAGATGTAGATCTAATCCAAGGGTTAAGAATTGGCCTTACGGGTCTCATGAAAAACCTTTGTCTCACATGATTCTATATATATTTAGGGGCTTAATCATTTGAGAACCCAATAAACTGTGACAACCTTGAGAACTTGTGTGTCATGTGTTATTTCATATGATCTTTTTCTATCTAGGCATACTATTTAATCTATTGATTAACATATATTTGTTTCACAGTATTAGACCCTAGAGTTCTTACTTGGTAAAAGTATTGTAAAATGTTCAAGTGCTGAAGACTAGAGATCCAATGGAGACAAACCAGAGATAGGCAATGAAGAACGAGAGATGCCTAACCTGATAATTACTTATTGATGAAGAGTCCCTCTAGTCTATGAACAAAGCCTCTCTGGAACCCTTCTGGTTTTCAGCTCTGATGGAATGCTTAAGTCATCAGGTTTTGTCCATTCAACTCTTGTTTAACAAACTGACACATAGAGGCTCTATATTGGACATGCCACCTAGAGACAGTTATTCAACTTTACACATGACAAGATGTGATTCATTAGTGCCTTGACTTTGTTCTCGTGGAGGTTATAAATAGCTGTTTATTGCATTCTGTTAGAAATCCTTCATGCAAGCTTTGATTACTTATTGTGTGTAATTCCATTTCAATCTGCAATTGTAATCAAAGCTTTTCTCTCAAATATTAGAAA